GAGGGGAGTGAGCGCCCCGTTGACAACCGAGAGCGAAGAAATTCGGGGGCTTCGGCTATCGAACGGCAAGATGAGAGGGAGATGGTTGAACGTCGGCATCGTGTCCAGGATGAGTTCCTTTCTCGCTCCGAGGACATGTATAGCTTCAACCACGATGTCGATTGGGAGCAGGGTGCTAACCCTAACCTCAAATCGAACCGCAAGCTCACTACCGACCCTCGCGTCACTGAAAATCCCGATCACAGAAAAGACGTTGAAGGTGATGGCCCCGATCATCTGAAAGCCGCTGCTCGGGCTGGATTAGTAGTTGGTCGTGATTCAGATATAGAGGCCAATGGAAGAGAAGCACTGCTTTCACCCATCGCTCCTGAGGGGAGGGGTACTATTGAGCGACCGAGATCATCGCAGCAAAAGCCCCCTCGAACACCCTCGACCCGCAAGGACCGCATACCTGGGTCATCGAGTGAGACCAATGGCGACTCCGAGATCAATGCGAACACCACGTCACAAGGCCATGGAGTTAATGGGTCGTCGAGCCGCGAGTCCGAGACTGGCGGTACCGGGTTGAACATACCGAGAGAAGAAAACGGAACCGCTCAGCAGAAGCACCCGTCTGTTCCAGATCTCAAGCGTATCTTCATCGACAACGACTGCATGAGGGACCCGATCATCGATGGCTTCTACCTGGACACATGGCAAGCTGTTGCCGAGAAAAACACTAAAATTTACCGATCTGTGTTCCGTTGCATGCCCGACAGCGAGGTGAAAAACTGGAAGGAATACAAGGAGTATACCACATATGGTGAGCGCTTTGCAGAGATGCAGAGCCAACCGGGCAACAAGCCGTCCCAACCTCAACACAAACAAAGTGGCCCTCCACCCGGTGCTACGGTCAGCTCTCCTATGTCGATCGCTTCTCAGATGTCTTTCATCACCCCAAGGGCCGAAGGGGCGCAGGCAGACCCCAAGAGCCCCCTGACAATCGACGAGAAGGTCGGAACTGGGAACGAAGCCGGTCGTTCTCAGTCTGAGCAGCTAGCGAAGCAGGAAACATTATCGTCTATCGATGAGAAGGCCGCACTCAAGACGATATCGGATCCGAACTTGTTGGGCAAGCTTCCGAACGGGACCAGCGAAGACAATGGCGTCGTCGCCGGTGAGGATATCGAGAAGCCACGAATAGCCTCGGCTCATGTCGATTACTCTGAAGCCGTGAACCTGAACCTGAATTCGACCAGCCAGTCTCGGAGACGTAGACGCAGAGCTACAACGATTGGCTCGAAGCGTGACCCCCATGGCACAGATGAGTATTTGGACAAGGGCCGTGCGGAAGACCTCCTTAACCATACTCAAGGCCATCTCATCATGTGGCCTTATGACTGGTATGTCTCAACTTCGCTCCCATTGGACCTGAGGATAACCTGAGGGTATACTGACAAATTCAATTTACAGGCTCGAGAAAGAGGAACAAGGTGGAAACTGGCTCTATGCTTTGGATCAGATTTCTCCTCTGGAGATTTAGTAAGTTGTTCCTCTTGATTTCCTGAACACGATACTAACGGATTTATAGCAACTAATCTCGAATTGCTTTGCACTTGACGGCGTCTTGCTCTTGATTTGATCGTTTGCTCGTGTTTATCTACTTGGTATCTGCGTTGGCATTCTCGAGCGCCGCTATAGCGATTGATGCATTTTCATTTTTTTTAGACTTTCCTTGGTGGCTCTTCGCCTAGTCAACTTTTTATGTTGGCTGTGATTCATGGAATTAATATCCCCTCGCCCCTAAGAAGCGCAATATAAGTAATCAACCCTGTCCGAATACGGGGATACCTAGGTAGCTATATTCTTCTAATGTCTTTCTGTAAGATGTCCATGTAGTACATATGTTATTGATGAAATGGCTTGAATTTTGGTAAGAAAGACTTGAAGTAGCAGAAGAAATATCGAATCAATGATTATATATCTATGAAGAGGTAGGCTCCTCCGCAACGTAGTGCAGGTAAGCTCCCAGCAGCTTGGTTCCCTCAATGTAGTTTCTCTTGTCAAGCTTCTCGTTGACGGAGTGGGCAGCATCAGTCGAGCTTCCCATGGGGAGGAGCAAGACATTCTTGCCGGTGGCTTGCTCGAAGGTCAATGTGACAGGAATACTATCAATGATTAGCTGTGAAAATATTTTGCTGAATGGAAAAAGAAAGTTCATACCTTCCACCCTCGCGAGTCATATCAGGCTCAACTCCGAAGACCTGCTGAACAGCCTTGCCGGCAGCCGAGAAGTTCCAGTGCTTGGGGCTGGCAACCCACCACTTGCCATCATGCTGTAGCGAAACATCCATAGTGTTCTTGCTGTTCAGCTTGGCGAACTCAGCCTTGATGTGGTCGAAAACCAGCTTGTTCACATCGGCGCTCTCCATGTTGGGCACGGTACGGATGGAGAATTTACCAATGACCTTGGCGGGAATGACAGTCTTAGCACCAGGGGCCGAGTAAGCGCCCTCGACACCGTGGATGGACAGAGAGGGGTAACGCCATCTGGCCATCAGAGTACGCTCCTTGGTGGGGTGAATACCTGTCTCGGAACCCAACGACTCGTGGAGGTTATCCATAGTGTAGCTGATGTTTCCATATAGAGTCTGCTCCTCCTCGGTCAGGGGAGCCACCAGATCCATAAGACCCGGGATGAGGATGTTACCCTGCGAGTCAACCAGCTTGGACAAGACGTTAACCAGATCAGTCATGGGCTCGTGGGCAGAGCCACCAAAGACACCACTGTGCAGGTCTTGAGCAGGACCGGAAATGCTGATGGAGTAGTAGTTGCAGCCGCGCAGACCATAGGTGAGGCAGGGCTTCTCAGTGCCGAGCCAGTAGTTGTCAGAGATACAAACGGCGTCTGTATCTTTGAAGTACTTCTTGCTCTCGGCCTGAATGAAGTCATCAAGACCCTCGGATCCGTACTCCTCCATTCCCTCGAAGCAGCACAACAGGTTGACGGGGAACTCGATACCAGCCTTCCGGTGGGCATCGATGACATTGAGCCAGCCCAGAACGGGACCCTTGTCATCGGTAGAGCCACGGCCATACATCCGATCCTTCTCATCAATTGTCAACTCAAAGGGCTCGGTGGCCCAGCCGTCCTCCTTCAGAGCAGGTTGCACATCGTAGTGTCCGTAGACCAGAATGGTACGCTTGTTCTTATCGTTACCGTATCTCGCAACCACCACGGGTGGGAGCTCGAGGTGCTCCTTGCCAGGCTGCTTGCCCAATGGTCGTTGCTCGACCTCGGCTCCAAGAGCTGTGAGCTCGTCGGCGAGGAATTGGCCCATCTGGAAAGATTAGACCCTGTATTTGTATGTTTGCTGGGAAACTCACGCGGAACACATCCGGTCGGTTCTCATCTTGAGCCGAGACAGATGGGATCGCAACCGCCTTCCGTAGACCTTGACCAAAATCAGCGAGAACCTTGATGGGGGAGAAAAGCAGTATTACATACGCTCGATGAAATCGTTGGACGAGTCGTCGACCCTTTAACTGTTAGCTAAAGTCTCTTTCTGGGCAATAGCATACATACTGCTTGAAAAAAGGCTCCAACTGGGGTGCCATTTTGGAATCACTGATATGGCCGTAGAAGAAGCGACGAGAGGAGAGAGGTGAACGAATAGCTGGAGAAAATCGAGAAGAAAAAGGACCTTTGAAAGGGACACGACGGGGAAAGAGGGGCATTGCCGTCTTTGCCCTGAGGTAACCGGAGAGTCCAAAGGGTGACTTCTTATCACGTAATTTTTTTCGGTCCTATCACACAGAGAGGTTATAAGGTGACTATATATTAGCTGCGTTTAGACTGAGACATATATATATTTTGGGGGTATTTTTTATAGATTTATACGCTTATTATTTGGAATGTAGAAGATTTGGTATGAAATATATGGAATAAACAATGCTGAAGCTAGAATACATGGATTTTCTTTACAAAGTAGACCCTTGGGAGTTGGGATGCTCTATGCATCTCGTCCCCAAGCCTCCCGCCGCAGTTCGCGGTCCTCTCTGGCCATACGGCGCTTGGGACCCCATCGCGATTGCACGGCCTCCAAGATCCGGGCCTGGATCTCTCTCTTCTCTGGGCTTGCCTGGCAGACCATAGCAATAAAAACGGGCGAGCAGTCAAAACGTTTGGCGAGCTTGTTTCGGCTCCAGGTCATGGGATCATTCATGCGAAGATTGCGGATTTCTTCAATGTCTGAAGGGGTGAGGTGGTATTTTCTTTCGGGCATAGACTTGTAGACACCGGGAAGATCGTCGGCGTTGGGGGTCACGGTGGAAGAAAGGATGGATGCTTTCCGAACATCATCGGCAGGCAAGAATTTAGATGGGGTGTGGTAGGCATTTGGAGCACTGGATGGCGGGTTGTGGATAATGTGATCGTGACCCAGCGTAGATGGGTCAAACGAGGAGTCTGGTTTCACACGTAGTCGCTGCTTGGTTCGTCGGTATGAAGATTGGTTTCGGCGAAATCCTAGTGCCATAGAATCCGACAAGGAGGGAACAAGGAATGGCAATGTAAGAAATGGCCGCTTCGTCGCGGCAAGGAAGGTCGCCATTGCTCTGGTCAATTGGGAGGGGAAATTGATCAGAAACTGGAATAATAGAAAAGAAAATGTTAATAAAACTTCATAGATATTGTTTATAATGGTAAACTGACCTAAAGGTAAGACTGAACTTGGGGTTGAAGGACTGGACGTGTTGGCATCTCTCGCGCTTCGAACCCGAACTTTTTCCCCTGGTCTCGTGACCCCCCTTGGCCCGTATTTATAATACCGTATTAAAATGTATCCAGTACCCTCAATGTCCTACTCATCACAGCTCAAACAAAAGTACCGGATACAAAAAGTATCCCACGTTAGTACGGGGATCACCTGGTCTCGTGTCTCATGTCATCATTGAGACTCTTTTACTAACTTCCACTTTACTTTCTTAACCGTCGGATTTTGATAGTTCATCTTATCGCAATGTCGGACTCTACAGTTCAGACAGATCAGAAGCCAAAGACGGTTGGAGCGAGTACACGAGCCCCGAAGCCTGCTGGATTCACATGGGACAAGAATCAAATCGACACAGGCTGCATATCACCTGGAAGATCGCCCGAAGCCCTACAAACACCAAATGATTCGACCAAATACATGAGACACCCCTCGCCTGAAAGCTCATCGTATTTGCCGCCCCGTATACATTCCCCCGCATCTCAGATATTCGAACGAGATGTGCAGGAAGATATAGTGCCAGCACAGGCGTCGCCTTCAATACCCGCGCATATTCGGACCGAGAACTATATTCCACCTGTCCTGGAAGCATCCTCGGCCGCGATCACAGATGACCGCCTCGATCCAGATTCGGTCGAGATTGTCACGCATAGCCTACATCAGTCAGCGGGCGGTGCATCGGGGGAGCAATCGATGTCATCATCAGGCATCGATCATCTCTTGGGCCAGGCCGATGCAGATGAGCTCTCGTCCAGTTATGGAGCACTGGACACGACAGATGTACGTCGGCTGAGCTTTATTTCCTTTGCCGATGTTGTCAACGCCGAGCATGCAGAAACAAATGAAGCCCATCCTGGCGTAATATCTCGGGAGCGCCTAGGAGATCTCAATCAGTCCCCGTCTCCATTGCGCTCTCCACCTTCTTCGCATGGACTTGGCACTTCCCCGCCAACAAGCATTGCGACCTCCTTCAGAGGGTCTGATATGTCTCCCACTCGGTTCGCTACTGCCAGTACTACCCAAAGTCCAGTCTCTTCCAGTTTTGGGGGAGATCTTAATGTAGAAACTATGCGACAGGCTTTGAGAAAGACTGCCAGTGGAGACTTGGCCGTTACAAGCCAGGCCGTGAGTATCATAGGAGATGACCCGCTAGACCGTACGTTTTAGGTTTTAGCAGGTCAAACTGCTTCTGATTGGCGTTGGACAGTGAAGGGCTCGGAGCAGGATCTCGTTTTCTTCAAGCTATGGTATCTGCTTTATATCATGTGATATACCTCAATTTTACGGATGTGGATATCCCAGAAACAGAAAACGTTCAAGTCCTTGTGTAGAATGCACAGGCCAGATTGAATTGGGGTAAACTATGCACTTGTCTGCCGAACACTTTGCACTGCGTCCAAGGCCCGCTGTACCCTGGCACGCAGATCAGGTACCTCTTCTAATCCAACACTGATTCTTACTAGATCCGGATCGACGTTGAAGGATCTCGCCTGGCATATGTTAGCTAGGGCCTGGTCAACATGCGAGCGGTGTACATACCCAGTCCAATTCACCGTAATGAGCTAGGAGGACGTACGGAGAGCTGAAAAGTTAGCAAAACCCAAGACAGGGGGGGGCCTGCGTACTCACCTCAACGTAAAGTTGGTCCCAAGACTGGGTCCCTTCAAAACCTCGATGGTGTCAAAAAAGGCAATCGCCTCGGCTTGGGAGTGGAACGTGACAGAGAAGAGACCACCATAACCACCATTGGCATTGCGCAGGCTATCATATAATGGTTTTGTGGGGCTGTATTTTGGGTAGTAAACTTCTTTCACTGTGAAATTGTTAGTATAACTTCCACTCAAAGGAGATGAATACATGCCTAGCGGGGACTCCTTGAGCATAGCTGTAATGTTCTCAGAGGTAGCATTGATCTGTTCAATGCGAGAGATAAAATCACGGCTGTTTCTCTCAAGGAAAACGGCATCCTCTGCCCAGTAGATATCTTCGTAGTCCCGGTTATAAGTTTCCTTGATGGCTGCATAATACTGTGCGTGAGGGTTGAGCACAGCACTTCCTCCCATGACGTTACTATCTCCGCTGAAAATTTTGGTCAAGCTGCTGACAACTATGTCTGCCAGGTGCAAAACATTGATGTTTAAAAAGTTGCTGATGGTTTCGTCAACTACCACAGCAAACCCATACTGGTCTGCTAGAGCGCGAATCCGTTTGAGGTCCGGTGTTTTGAGAAGAGGGTTACCTGGTGCCTCAGTGAAAAGCCCAAGGAAACGCTCACCAGCCTTCAGTCGAGATTCCAGGTCATCCAGATCTTCCGAGGAGCCGTGACCATAGAATACGCAGCCTGGTCCCCACTTTTGGAGAATCTTCAATGTATCCGTGTAAGGGAACCCGAAACAAATCGACGGTAAATCGCCTCTAGTAGCCAGCAAGGTCTGGTGAGCGTTAAAGATGGCGCTCATGCCCGAAGGGTAAAGAAGGACATCCTCCTCAGAGATTCCGGCGACTCGACCTTCTGATGAAGCTGCCTCCAGGGCCTCTGGTAGTTCAACATCGGCTGTCAAGACACCCGCAATACGTTTGCGAACAGCCAGCTTGGCCTGATTGGCGAGAGAGGTGCTGAGGTTTCGGCCAAACCGCTCCTCAATAAATTGAGCATAGTCTCGGCCGTCTTCGGTGTTTGATTTGGGAGGAGATTCCCCAACAGAGCCCTTTCTCGCTCCACTGATGCTTTGGTATCTGCGAGGTCCCTTGCAAGGGCGCTGGGAGATTGACTCCGCAGTCGCAAAGCCTTTGTCTTCCACCAAAAACCCATCCTCCAATGCTCCAAAGCAGAACTCACCGCGTCGACTGGAGATACCATTGCCCGAGTGTTGCCATACTTGCTTGGTAATGGATGCGTATTCTTTTGGGTAAATGACACACGACAGGGAAGACGTCACTGTTGATCCGGCTTCGGTATGTGGGGATGGGATGAAGTTGACAATGCGTGCTTTGTATGCCTGCTCTGCGGGAATTTTGCTAAGCAAAAAGGAGTGACAAATGCGTGCTGGCTTCACTGATGCGAATAGGGTCGCAGACTCGAGGTTGGGGTCACCGACTCGGCGAACAATCTCCTGGGCGAGCTTTTGGATAATAGGATGGACGAAGAATCGAGGATAACCGCATTGCATCTTCTTTATAACCCAGTCTTCTCCTTCTTCATAGCCGACATTTTCCCTCCATGTTGGGAGCGATACACTGACGGCCTTATAAATATTAGAAGAGTCATGGAGGGGTTGCGGGGAGTTAACCATACATGGTCAGTATTTGGAGGCACAGGTCCTCCTAAAGCCTGTAACATTTTCAATTGAAATCAGAGACCAAGAGAAATAAGATCTATTGTAAGTATTTGCTTTTCAAAATGGAAGAGAAAGAGAAAAAAAGAGTTTCTTAAGGTTGTAAATGATGCCATACCTCTCCACTGCGATTTCGGCGATGCTCCGGGTACCTGATAAATTACGAATGAGTCAGCCATACAATACCAGATACAATACCGTTATCGCCCAAAAAAAAATCTCGGCCTCTACAGTAACAACTGCTACGCTCAAATGTCGGACCACACATCCAAGCGCAGGAAGCTCAGTCCTTCCCCGGAGAATGCTATTACTAGCTCTTCAACGAAACAGACACCGAAAGTGACCGAAAAGCGAAACCCGACTCGAGGCAAAGATGAGCGCTCCGCAGAGCTTGCAATGGCCAGCGGCTTTTACAAGTCTAGTTTCTTCAAGCTGCAAATGGACGATCTGCTGGCAGGATTGAGACCTAACTACAGCAAGCAAGTCTCAAAGGTTCAGGAAACACTACACCAGATCAAAACTGCCATTGAAGGCCTGCCCGAAAAGTCTCCGCAATCTGTCCCTGATGCCGAGAAGGAGCTACGTGCTTCTGGTCTGGTGGTTCCATGGCCTGAGCCTCGGCCGAGCAAGGATGTCAAGTACAGCATGGCATACGCAAAGCCAGCGAACATCAACGTGGTAGGTAGCTTTGCGCTAAAGACAGGTGCCCGCACTTTGGAGTCGCGCCCAATTGATCTGGCAGTCACCATGCCAAGCTCGCTTTTCCAGGACAAGGACTACGTCAACTTCAGATACTTTCACAAGCGGGCCTACTATATCGCGTGCGTGGCCGCTGGAATTCAAGACACCGCGAACACCCTCGGGTTTGATATCAAATTTGCCCCTCAGGATGGAGACAGTCTCCGTCCTCTCATCTTGTTGGAACCGCGTAAAGCCGAATCGTCCAGGCCTACTATCCGAATTCTGACCGCAATCGATCCTACGTTGTTCCCGATCACAAGAACGCTTCCCCTGAAAAGCAATATCCGCCAGGCCTCGAATAACTCAGAGATCGGCGAACCGACCTCGTATTACAATGCCAGCCTCCGTTCCGATGCCACAGTCTCTCTCTATCACAAGTCTATCTACTCGGCCTCCAAGAAGTGCGATTCGTTCAGCGATGCTTGCATCCTTGGCCGCACTTGGCTGCAACAACGTGGCTTCCATACCCCCTTCCAGAATGGAGGCTTTGGTGGTTTTGAATGGACTGTACTTCTGTCTTTGCTGTTTGAAGGCGGTGGTCCGGCTGGACAACCGGTCCTGCTACCATCGTACAGCTGCTACCAGATTTTCAAGGCCACCATCCAATTCTTGGCCGGCAGGGATTTGACCACTCCTCTATTCTTTGGCCAAGAGGTCCCGGTTCCTTCTGGGATACCTGTTGTATTTGATGGCCGCAGAGGGTTGAACATTCTTTACAAAATGACACCTTGGTCATACACAACACTGCGCCACGAAGCCGCCATCACCCTAAAAATGCTCAACGAGTCACGAGAGGACAACTTCGATAAGGTTTTCATTCTCAAGGTTAACGAACCAGTTCTCAGATTTGACCGTTTGATCTCATTCCCCAAGTCATTCAATGGAGACACGCTCCGCGCTCTTCACGAACAGAATGCTTTGTTCAATGTTCTTTGCCGGGCTCTGGGAGACAGAGTCAAACTTGTCTCTATCGTGAGCCACGCCATTGATTCGTGGTCAGTCAAATCCAAGCAGCCCAAGCGGTCGAGCGAGGGTGTGTCTGTAGGACTATTGTTGAATGCTGAAAATGTCGGACGAATTGTCGACCACGGTCCGGCTGCAGAAGAAAAAGAGGAGTCTGCTTCGTTCCAAGCTTTCTGGGGTGAAAAGTCGGAGCTTCGACGATTCAAGGATGGCAGCATCCTGGAGAGTCTTGTGTGGTCTGACGAATCAGAGACATCTATCATCTATCAGATTTTGGAGTACATACTCCAACGGCACTTCAAGATCACCACCGATGAATTCGCATTTGTTGGTGATGAATACGACGAGCTTCTTAAAGAGCATGGCGATGGCATTCTGGCATACTCCAGCCCTGCTTTCCAGTCAATCGACGATGCCTTCAAGAATCTTGAGAAGTCTATTCGTGGCATGGATGAAGTGCCATTGGAGGTTCGTCACTTGGCTCCGGCCAGTTCGCTGCTTCGTTATACCTCCCTCAGGCCAACGGGAGCTACCGACGTTGTTCTTCAGTTTGAAAGCTCCTCACGTTGGCCTGATGATTTTGCCGCTATCCAGATGACCAAGGTTGCGTTCCTTTTGAAGATTGGAGACTCTCTGGAATCATCGGGTGCTGCCTCCTCTTGCCGTGTAGGCCTCGAAAACGAATCGAGCAAGGTGATCAACAATGCGTATTTGGAAATTCCCCATTCCTCTGGCGTGTTGTTCCGGTTGAGGATTCACCACGAGCGTGAGCAAACCCTACTCGAGCGCAATCTCAAGGACCGGAATCTGAGTCCCCGGGAACGAGAAGAGGCCGCCTACGCTCTCTTCGCCTACAAGAAAACGTTTGTCCAAACTCCACGCTTGACACAGGCACTCCGAAGTCTGTGCACACGCTTCCCCTTGCTGTCGCCCACCATTCGTCTTACCAAACAATGGTTTAATTCTCACCTGTTTACTGCCCAAATCAGCGACGAATTGATTGAATTGCTGGTGATTCGCACTTTCACCCAACCAAACCCCTGGGAATGTCCTTCCTCTGTCATGACCGGATTCCTGAGGACTCTCCACTCCCTCTCTCGGTGGGATTGGCAGCAGGAGCCGTTCGTTGTTGACCTCGGAGGTGAACTGACCCCACAAGTGACGGAAAATATCCGCACTCGCTTCACAGCCTGGCGCAGCATCGACCCTGCGATGAACAGTCTGGCCCTTTTCGTCGCCTCCGACCTCGATACTGAAGGAGTGACCTGGACCCAATACGAGATGCCCTCCAAGGTCGTGGCTGCTCGGATGTCCAGCCTGACCAAAGCAGCAGTAAGCCTGCTACGAAGCAAGACCCATGATATGGATGTTTCCGAGCTGTTTGATACATCGCTTGCTCCCTATGACTTTGTCATTCATCTTCGCCCAAAGCTGTTCAATGGTTCCTCGGCACCCAAGTACAAGAACTTGGCCGAACCCCGTGCTGGAATGATGCAGACCATCAAGTCGTTTGTCTGTGATGTTCAAGCTTGCTACAGCCAGAGCATTTTGCTCTTCCACGGAGACGATCGTTGTGCGGTGATTGCTGGCCTTTGGAACCCGCAGACCCTGAAGTCGCGAACCTGGAACCTGAAGACGGCGTATTCGACCGCTCCAGGTGACACGGAGGGTGAGGTCGTAATCAACCAGACTGCTATTCTGAATGAGATTGCGCGGTTGGGCAATGGGCTCATCGAAAACATTGAGATCCATGCAGAGGAATAGATCTTGTCATGCATTCAAGATGTACATTACCCTACAAAATAGTTCGAGCATATATAGCACTTACGAATTCCGTTTTTCTTCTTCTTCTTCAGTCCACCTGGAACAATGAGAGATATCATGATCAAACTCTTATCCCTCAGTACTATAGAGTAGTAGATAGTACTCTGATTCTCTTAGTCCCTGAACATCAACTTGCATCTTGATATCGATGCCTAAGGTGTCAACCACTTATTACATGTGCAACAATCAACCTTGATTTCATATTTTCTCACCATCACAACAATGGCCGGCATAACTCGGGGCCAGCGAGTCCTCCACACTCAATTCCAACCTTGGAACCACTCTCGTTTCCACTCCCAATTGCCCATCTGCGCGCAATCCCACTTCTCAACCTCCGCCCCGAGCCAGCAATCCCGCCGACCCTCCCCATCACCCCCTACAACAACCATCTTAATCCCCTCCAAAACCGAAATAAATCCCCCAATCAGCACTCTCCCTGCCACCCTCACAACTCCATCTCCCCTACACCCTTCTGCAGGCGCAGCAGATAAACTAAAACGCTATGTCGAATTCGGCCGCGCATACCTGACCTTCTACAAAACGGGCCTGAAAAATGTCTACCACAACTATCGTGCCTCACTCCCTCTACGGAGAAAACTAGGCCTACCCGCCTACATCCCCATATCGCCGCCGCGGACAAGCACACACAACCGCAGTGCGTCATCAATAACACAAGAATCCCAGCTCGGCCGCGCGCAGTTCCAGCTCGTCCGCCGTTCAGCCCGAGATGTCCGCCGCATGATCCCCTTCACACTGATCCTGATCGTCTGCGGCGAGTTCACACCCCTGATCGTCCCGATTTTCGGCTCCGCCATTACACCGGCGACGTGTCGCGTGCCCTCGCAAGTGGAGAAGGAACGCGTCGCTGCTACGGTGCGCAAACTCGCGGCGCTGGATGTGTTTGTGGCTGAGAGTAAGGATCGATCCGTGCATTTGCTCAAGGCGGGCAGTGAGAAGCAGTTGGCTCTTCTTGCTAGGTCTTTTGCTGACCCTGTCTGGGTCACTGGTGCGAGCTCCGCTGATGTCTTGCGTGCCTGTGCTGTTTTTGGTCTGGTTAAACGTCATGATAAGACTGCGGGCGAGTCACTTGCTGGTTTGATCTACCGGCCTCGGCTGGCGCGGTATGTCGAGTACCTGGCTATTGATGACGGGATGATTCGTGTTGGTAAAGGAGTTTCGGCTATGAATGCTACCGAGGTGCGGATTGCGGTTGAAGAACGTGGTGGTTTGGACGTCTCTTCTGGTACTCAAGACCGGAAACGGGTAGAGGAATTGGAGAGGCGCTGGTTGGAGCAGTGGTTGACTGTTCGTGGAAACAGTCCCAAGTCCAAGAAGCTGTAGTGGTTTTTTATTTCTTTTGAAACTAAACTAGAGGTCTCTCCTTGCACAGTAGATGTTTTCAGGGATCCTTTGTATTATATTCAACATTTCGACTCATAAAAGAGCTGTTTTTCTTTGCTATTATTTTCAGCCGTAGAGCCTACAGTCTTAGCCGGCATGCTTTTTTCTATATTCAATTTATAAAACCATTAGAACGAGACATGTACGAAATAAAAGTCCGAGCGCTCAAATGTACTATATGTCAATCTCGACAGTCGAACGGAAGGGGTATCAAGAAACCAGCCCTCCAAGCGGAGATCAATTTCCAAAAAAAAAAAAACTCAAGCCAGCAACTCACACAGTTGATATACTCACTCACCATCAGTCAACTGTAACAGATGAAGAAGCCGCAACCTGCGCCTGCGCCTGGCCACGGACTTGCTTCGCCCATCGCAGACCGCAACTATTGCAAAGATCTCGATTTCCACTCGGACCACGCCGCCACTCGGGGGTGTTCTTTGTGCTGCACATGGCGCAAAACTTCTCGACTGCCATAGCGCTCTGCTTGCGCTTGCGTTTTCTACGGCGAGCCAGCAGGCGTTGTAATTCATCGGCCAGAGTGCGGTTCTGCTTCTCTAGCTCGCGCAGCTCGATCTGCCAGCTCGATCCGCGGGTGGGGTTGAGCTCTGTAAAGAAGGTTGCTGGGTCGCCAGAGGGCGAAATGCTGCGGTTGCCAGTGGGCAGACCGTTGAGGCCGATGAGGGTTGAGAGGTCAGGCATTCGTTGACCAAGGGCGCCGTACTGGCGGGGCGGGACGGGGTCATCAACGGTGAGCGTTGCGTTGCGTGTGGTGCCGGTAAGCGCACCGAGACTTGTGTCTTCGGCAGCTGAGATGGCGGTGGCGGATGGAGGGAATGATCGAGCAAATCGGATCTGGGCGACGAGGAAGGTCGGTTTGGTTCCCTTCTCTGCGTCGCCGGTGTACAATGTGGTATGTGCCGAAAGGGCATGGCCTTTCTTATGCCACATCTGGTGTTTGAATGAGGGTGGTTCCTCCGTTTCTTTGCTCCCCGTAACGGTGGCCATGCCAGCTCCTTGTCCACGACAGGCTGCCTCCAGTGCTTGTGTGATCGTAGCAGTGCCACCAGTCTCGGGCTCCATGATCTCTTGTAGGCCTTTACCAATCAGATCGTCAGGCGAGCGACCGAGCACTGGCTTCACCTTGGTCGTAACGAACAGAATGACTCCAGACAAAGAAATCTTGGCCCAGACATCATTCTCGGCCAGCGCGGCGGATGAGCCCAGGCGGGCAATCTGATCCAAGGTGTAGACGGGTCGTGGGCGGCCGGTCATGACAAGATGCCTGCGGCCCTGGTTCGGGTCGATGTGCCAGGCGCCGTGACTCTCGAACCACATATATCCTCTGTGCTTTTGCCTGATACGATACACAACACTCATTGGAGCTGTAGTCGTGCTCGCGCGCAGGTCACGGATTACAGGACCAATATCACTGGGATGGCAGATGGTGGACAGGGTCTTGCCGATCAGCTCGACCGGGTCGTACTCTAGAATCTTGTGGCAAGAGGGCGAGAGATACAAGAATTCACCGTTGAATGAAAGCACGTGGATCACATCGTCGGTATTCTCAACCAGAATGCGATCCAGGTAGTGCCGGTTGACATCACTGCCAGCTGCACCCATGGCGTTGAGAATGGTAGTCACTTCGTCATGGCCATATCGCAACCCGAGGTCTGGTCGTGAGGAGTATAAATCTGGTGGTGGGACTATATACTGTGGCAGCTGATCGCGCTGATAGTTAATGCTATAATTACCATCTGTCCAATGTCAGTTTGAAGGCCCCTCGCCACGAATGATGCAGCAAAGCATACCAGGATTTCTTCCTCTCACGGCATCGGGCTTTTCAACCAGATCGACCTGGAACCCGACGTAGTACCGATAGACATCCGAATCCCACTGGATAGGGATCATCGTAATGAGATTCATGAAGGGTTGTCCACCCTTGCGATAGTTGATTATACTAGCTTGGATCTCACTGCGATCGTCGATGGTTGACCGGAGCCGATAGACCGTCTGTCCATCCACAAAGGTCCGCTTGGCGCCAGCGTTGATCTTACCGTCAGGCGCTTGAAGAAATCGACAGTTTCGGCCAACGATTTCATCTTTAGTATAGCCGGTCAATCGTTCAAAGGCCTCTGATACATAGACGATTGGATGATCCTCGGCCAAGATATCACACATCACAAAGGCGCATGAGAGATCAACCGCGCCAATGTTAATTTTAGGGTTGGACCGCATAGCCACACGGCCCTGAGCAAGGTGAGTATATCATCAGGTACTCTTATGGGGTAAAAGAACATACCAGCGCTCCCAGCACGTCAAAGCCTGTTGTCGAATAAATGCCGGTATGTTCAGTCTTGCCAATCTCGGGCTTTTCAAGCCCCGGCGAGATATCCTCTGGATTTTGCGCGTTCCCGCGTCAGTTATACCATGGGCCAGAGCCAGCGGGGAGTGCCAGACACAGGCACAACTCACTTTTGGCAGTAACGGGCTTCTTGGGCTGGATAGCCACCGGTTGCGATACACGGTACGGCTGGGGAGGCAGGCGGCGCTCTGGATGTCGTTGAGCCCGCTGTATCTGCACCTGCGGGTGCGCGTGTGACCAGTTGCTCGTGCGACCTGAAAAGTCGGAATCCTCGAAATTGGCTGTCGAGTCTGTGCTATCGTACAGTTCCTTGCGGGCTGGTGGAGCGAGCTGTTGGGAATAACGGGGTACCGTCATGGAGGGGAAGGGCGGGTATGTAGACTGAAATTGTGAATGATCGATCTGCGGAGGCATCCCCATAGTGGTGGCAGGGTAGGTAGTTGGGAGATCGTAAGCATAGGCGTTGGTGGCGTCTATATTCAATGGCATTGAGATACCCGAGGTCGGGATCCCATATGTGGGCATGACATTAGAGCGTTCCAGGTCCGAAGGCTGTGATCGTGCGAAGTTCTGGAGAGGCAGATCCGCATCTTGGGGTAGCATGGCACTGAAGGCATAATTGCCGTTGGAAAAGGCGGGTATATATGAAGGATTGGAGGGTTGTGAGGAGGAACCCTGTTCATCATCATATTCCAAGGTGAAGCTGTCCATATTGATTAAAATATCCTCAGACAGAGTTCCATCGCGGGATGACCTGGGCAGAGGAAGGTTTGGTCAAGATATTCTGGGTGGAGAGTCAATGTGTTATTAGAAGAGAGAGAGAGAGAGAGAGAGAGAGAGAGAGAGAGAGAGAGAAAAAAAATAGAGAGAAAAGAAAAGAGTTGATCTCTCCAAAGTACAAAATGTGTGGAGAAGTACTCGCCACTCTCTAAGGGATTTAACATTCCCCATGTTTATTCTTTTTATATTTTATATTTATATATCTTCTTCTCTTTTTCTCTTCTATATACAATATATATTCTACATATTGTATATCTTTTATCTATTTCCTAAACACTGTAAATATTGTACTCCGTAGAAATGTTCAGAATCCAATGACCCATGAGATGTATCACAATTAGAGAGTGATCAATAATATATTAAGAGAGAAAGATAGCAATGAGCACAGAGTATATTGTACAAAGTATGAAGTGTAGAGTATAGGCTATATTGACCCCCTATATCTTTATAGTAATCCACCCCCCTGTCAACTCTTCCCCTTCTCCAAATGCTCGGCCATGGACAAGATCTCAATCACCATCTGCGGAGATGGTGGATGCGGTATGTTGCTTCTATTATCTCCTGGGAATATCCGGCCTCCGTGATTCGGTGCCACATTTCCGGGTTTCACACGATCGAGATCTGATCAGATCGGGACTCAGGCAAATCCTCCATCACCATGCGGCTGGTCCGTAGTCAATGGGTTCATGAGTGAGAGTCCCCTTGAGCCTGGGGGAAATTATGCTCATCTCAATTTTATTTTTTTTCTAGATATGATCCAACTATCGGTATTGCGCGCCCGTTTCCGATGCCATTCCCAATTCTAATCGGGCTTAAGAGGATTCCTACACCGTCACCCGCAACGTCGATGGTCACTCCTACGTCCTTTCCATCACCGATACTGCAGGCCAGGAGGAGTACCGTGGGTTATGGAGTGCCTCGACCCTGAACTCGGACGCCTTCCTCCTGGTTTACGATATCACCAACCCCTCGAGCCTTGAAACGCTAGATCATTTCATGAACATGATCAACATGGAGGCGGAGCAACGTGTCGAAGATGATCAGCGGCTGCGCCAGTTGGGAAAGTCTGGATATGTTGATGTCGGCCAACTTGGCCTGCCACCAGTTAAAATCGTTGTGGGTAACAAATGCGATCTCAAGGATGATCGCGTGGTGACATCTCGCGATGGACTCGAGTATGCGCGCAAACACGGCTGCGGGTTTATGGAGACTAGTGCTCGCGAAACGGTCAACATTGAGGAGACCTTTGCCCGTATGACATTGTCCGTCAGCAAAGAGAGTAGAGCTAATGATTGGATAGATCTAGTCCGTCGCGTTGTCGAAGCCCGACTCCACAGCCAGGGCGCGCTTCCTCCCTGTGCTGAGCCATCACATACCCTACCAAGTACCGACGCAATTGCAGGCACTCGATCCCGTCGAAGTCGCGCGTGGGAGTTTATCAAACACCGGAAGACAACGGAACCAAACGGCCAACAGGGTCAGGAACAGAGTGAAATTCAGCGAACCGAAAAACAGAAACGTCAGAAGTGCTATCGAGGTTGCGTCTGTCAGCTCTGGCGCTTTCACTTTAAATGAGACTGTACATTATAAAAGATGTAGATTGTATGTCAATTATTTTTTTTTATGTATGAACGGGAAGTAGAAACATGGCCAAGCAACATAAGTTAAGGAATGGACTCGGAATGTGTCTCCGACCCGTGAAGCTGATAGAGGAAGTTCCCATGGGTCATGGAAGTTGAAGAGGTCGTCGCATATTTCCAAATGCAGTAGGAACTAAGCTTTTGAAAGGGAAACGGGGGAAACGGGGAAATTAGGAGAAGGAATTTATCTTCTAGAGTGGTCTAGCCCATTTTTTTAAGTCTATGAAATATATGAGAAATATAAAAGGGACATAGTTCCTGATTGGGGAATGGTCACGTCATGGACTTTGTTTGAGGTCATCACCGTTGAACCTGATCTTCTGTGTAATATACCTCGGATTACATCCTCGGATAGTATAATAGGATAGATAAATAATGAAGTCGGGTGCAACATGCAATTCGGCATGGGCATGCCGATTTTTTTATACTAAGATTATGCTGCCAAGATTCATATTTATGTTCTATTCATATTATTTCTATCCTCTATCAATGCTAGAATATAGAATATATTATCTTAGAATCTAAAATCTAGAATATAGGATATAATATATATAAGATACATACATATATATAAGATATATAAGATATACAAGATATACAAATAACGGAATTGTAGTCCACTCGGATATACGTCAAGTTTAAAGTCTCCGAGCTCCGTCAGCAAATGCCGATTGATCCTGTATTTTATTTCATGTATTTGAATTGTATCGTATTTTATGATCTTCGATCCGATCCCTTTTTCTATACGTCCATGACTTCTATAAAATAAATAAAATAATCCCAAATCAGAAAAGCCCCCTCTTTTTTTTTGGTGAATATAATATGCATCTTTTCCCATGGTGACCTTGGAGTTACCTTTTCCCTTTTAATAGTTCCAAGGATTTCCTATCTGCATCCGTCTACTTTATTTGATTACCTGTTAATGATCTTAACATCATTATATCATCTTTGACGTCGATCCCGAAGTATAGCTATAGTCCACATCCCTCTCTCTCCTCTCTCTCTCTCTCTCTCTCTCTCTCTCATACCTATCCGACTTCACAATGGCAGCTCGCCAATCAACACCAACTTCGGAACACTCCCATTCGGATAGCAATGTCCGTAAAAGAGTATGCAAAGCATGCGATCGATGTCGTTTGAAGAAATCCAAGGTATGTAAGAAAAGGCGATCGGCCTCAAAACATGCACTGACCCGAACAGTGTGACGGTTCCAGTCCTTGTTCCCGTTGTCGGGCAGATAATGCCATCTGTGTCTTTGGAGAGCGCAAGAAGGCGCATGATAAAGTGTACCCGAAGGGGTAAGCTAAAGATATTCCACTAAAAAGAATAATACTAACATGTTCCCTATATAGATACGTTGAGATGTTGGAACAGCAACAATCCTGGCTGGTCCATGGTCTACAAGAACTATATCGACGCAACATTGAAGGCGAAGGCTGGCCCGGCGAACCATTGAAACTCGAACCCAACGGTCATCCACTCACTCATGATCTGCTCATGCGCCTCGGCGCCCTCGACGGCTCCAAGGGCGAGCGCTTTGAAGAGAACCCCGAAGCCCTACAGCAGGATCTATGGCACACCAATGCCGGCATGCAACGCCAGGAATCCTCCGACGGTGGCTCCGATAGCCCTCAATCCCCAGTGCCCCGTTCGCGCTTCTCGTCCGATGCTTTCTCCCAGCAGCACATGCCACCTACGCCCCCAACGTATAGTCCTTCGACACGTGCGCCCATCAAGACCGAACCTCAAACTCAGATGCCCCCGCAATTTGCCCAACCCATGTCTATGCAAGGGGTGGTCAATCCATTGGCGTTGCAGGGTCCCCAACAATGGCCTAGTAACGGGTTCAATCCTTTCGATGAGATGGATCTGATGTCGGCCGATTACTCCAATATGCCCTTTGACGACCAACAGCTGTCACCAATGTTCAATCGCCAAGTACCTATGAACTGTTTGTCTCAAGGGTCATATCTTGATTCCAAGAACGACTATGAGGATTTCAATCAGTTCCTCAATCCAAATCCTACGGAGATCACCTCGATTTGAGCCATTATCTTTTTTATTTTTCTTCTTCGGGCTCGACTATTCTTTTTTAACGCCGTATGACGTGATGCATGTATAACTATACATGCGCTTTCTCTTCTCTTTGGGATTTTTTTTTCTTCCCCAAGATCTCTGGATTCAGGCGTTGGGATAATTACTGTACAGTGAACCGGGTTTCGGGGTTTCAAGGGATTTGGAGTATTGGGTTTGGGGTTTAAAATGGTTTCAGGGCGTTCTAATTTACAATTGAAAGTTGAAATCTAAACATTCTAGAAGATCGGATTAAAATGCCGTGATCCACATCTTTGACTAACACGGGAATAATTCGGGAACGGAATTTAAGTTGATTATTGATCTGACTCAGCGGCTTATATATCCATCTCCACTGAGCCATTTTGGGCTTTTGCTTTATAAGTCGCCGAAATCCCGATTTCCCCTAATGGGCCAAATGCTCCGATATTATATACTCTTTCTACTACTCCGTACTCCGTATATTCGTATTCGTCTCCATAAGCACAGCCTCAAAACTTGCTTTGGGGGTCTTAAGAACATGCCTGCCTACAATGCCAATCCAATGCCAATCCCCTGCCAATCCTCTATAATCCATGTACGGAGTACGGAATACCTGCCCATTATTAATGGTCCTTGGCATGCCTCCTTTTTTATTTCATATGGGCCGACACGAGTCCGGGGTATTCCTTCGGACGCCGGACTTCGTTCCCTCCGACCGGATGCTGGCTTACCCTAACCCCGACGTGCTATGTCCGCTTTATGCGTGATTATATTGTGTAAAGTACTGGAGAAAATACCATTTTGATACATCCCTTTTTTTTTTTTTTTTTTTCACTTTTTGATCTAGTTTTGGTGAACTGCCATCTCATCTGGGTTTGATATTAAGTCACGAGTTGCCCTTTACCCTAATCCAGCCGGTTAATCCAAACCTCTTTTAGCCTAATCACCTTGAAAATCCGGACCTCAGGGTAACCTCTTAACGCCTTGAATATATCATTTATGCTAAACAAAATAAAAAATTTGAAAGGTGTCATATTCGGTGATTCATCCCGTAGATTGCGGGGTTACAACGTCATGTCGACCCTAAAAAAGAGAGAACTTTCCTTCCTCCATCTCTCTTGAAAAAAAAAAAAAACAACCACCAAAAAATCCCATCATGCCCGCCCCCGAACTAGCTGCATTCACCTTTCTGCCTTTGGGCGCCATTATTCAAGAGTTCCGTGTTGGCGGCCAGAATATCGTGTTGGGTTTCCCCACGCAAGAGGATTATGTCAAGCACAACTCCCCGCATTACGGTGCCACCATCGGTCGCGTTGCAAACCGCATCAAGGATGGTCTGATTCAGGATCTGAATGGTCAGAAGATTCAACTGACCCAGAACAATGGCCCCAATGCTCTGCATGGTGGTGAGAAAGGTTGGGGTAAACGTATCTTTGACGGTCCACACACCGTCCAGCGCAATGGTCACGACGCTTTGCTGTTCAAGTACCTCTGCAGAGATGGTGAAGAGGGGTACCCCGGTACCGTCGAGGTGCGCGTGTGGTACACCGCCAGCAAGGAGGATGACGCCAAGACCTTGCTGACGGCCGAGTACGAGGTCGAATTCATTGGCAATGAATGCGAGGAGACTGTCGTCAACCTGACCAACCACAGGTAAAAAAAGATCTAGCCCGTTTCAAAGTTGATGACGACATGTCAATTAGAGCTCCCCACTGACTTCCCCACTTTCACAGCTACTTCAACATCGGCGATGGCCCCGATATTTCGGGCACCACTGCCCAGCTTGCTACAGCCGACTATCTCCCCCTCGATAGCACGGGAATCCCCTCGGGTGGGATCGCCAAGTTCCCGCGCGACGTGACAACCCCGTTCACGCTCACCGCAACGGGCGCACACATCGACGACGTCTTTGTGCTGGAGTCCGATCCCAGCAAGATTCCACTGGACACTCGTGGCTTACCTCTGCGCCGCTTGGCGCAGTTCAGCAATGCAAGCACGGGCCTGCATCTCGAGGTGCACAGCACCGAGCCTGCATTCCAGTTCTACACTGGCAAGTACGTTGATGTGCCGTCGATCAATGGTGCACCGGCGCACCACGAGGGATCTGGTTTCTGTGTGGAACCTAGCCGGTTCGTGAATGCGATTAACGAGCCTGAATGGCGGTCCATGGTCCTGCTAAAGAAGGGTGAAATCTTTGGCTGCAAGAATGTTTACAAGGCCTGGAAGGATTGAATAATCCAAGAATGTACATAAGTGTACATAAGTGTTTTTTTTTTTTTTTTTTTTTAACCAGTGGAGACTGTATATTTTGACCGGATAAGCCTCGGCATTGTGTCCACCGGTATACAAATCAAAATCAAAATTTGCCGAAGCCAAGTTTCCGTAAAAATGTCCCGGATCCTCGGCCCGTGTTTCTCGGGATTCCTTTCTGTTTTATACATGTGAATATCTTATTATGTATACTATCTTCCAAGCTTCCCCTTGACCCACTCTCGAGATCTTCTTGACGATCTTAGTGTGCCGTATTCCCGTTTTATGTTTTATCTGGAGTTACGGATATATATGATTTAAACTTTTGTCTATAGGTAATTATTGTATCTTGGGATAAAGGTTTAGTCTCAATAATGAGGCATAATATTGTTTTTGAAAGCTCTATATGAGCTAATAATATGTTAACTACAATGTATATACCTATACACGTGACTACCGGCCATAATCGGAAAGGTACCGGGCCAACCCGAGCCTCTTCACCCCCGCGCGGGGAACTCTAGCAGATCAACACTTCACCACCCATTTGCTCCTCCACAATGGCCTCGAATTATGGAGATCTACGTCATCTGCTACCCGGCAACTACAAACGCTTCATAACCTCCTGGTTGG